TGGGGGGCGGGGGGGGGGGGGCGTTGTGTGCGAAGTTCAGGGCCACCCGAGATACGGCCCCGGCCGGGGCTGGTTCTAAACATACGTGACCCACTGACCCAACGTTAGGCCTCTTCATTCCAAAATAAACTCAGTTGGGTCCGCAATTCGGGCCATCGCTGTGTTTCCACGCCTGATATTCGTCGAGTATTATTGTGTACTGCTGCCGGGGCTGGTTCTAAGCATACGTGACCCACTGACCCAACGCTAGCCCTATTCATTCTAAATAAACTAAGTTGGGTCCGCAATTCGGACCATCGCTGTGTTTCTACGCCTGATATTCGTCGAGTATTATTGTGTACTGCTTCCCTCCCCCCACTGAAACTTAGGATGCAAAGCACTCAACGAACAACCCCGAGCCGAGGTCAAGGCCCTCTGATGGATCTGAAGGCGACCGAATACCTTCGTGGTTTGCTCCCAATTAACACGAAATTCCCCCAAACTTTGCGAGTTTAAGATTTTTGCAGAATAAACCCAAGCCATCGTCCTTCCTTTCCCTTAAAGATAAAGGCGGGAGTTTGGCGTCGTTCGTTCTCGAGCTCACGCCCTCTCCTCGGCGTAATGTCTCCAGAGGAGGATCGAGGCAGAGGGTCTCCATCGGAGCTTGCTTGTAAGACTCTTGTCTGAGGGCCGGTTCACATCCCCACCTACTGCCGGCAGCCAGGCTCCTTGCTCCTCCCCTCTCCTCTCCCATGGTGCAATAAACTGCTGGCCGCACACTCTTCTATAAGAGCAGCTCATCCTCGCTGCTGGGCCTTCAGGGCATCAACCAGTCCACCCCCTCCGCGACCTCTTCCGCTCCTCTAGAGAGGGGAGAGAGAGAGAGAGAGAGCCCGGTCCACCTATCTGTCTCCCTGCGCAGGATGGCTCGGCGAGGAGGCCTCTTCTTCGGGCTCCTCCCGTTCTTTTTCTTGGCACCCTTCGCTCCATCCCCCGCCGGAGCGGCGGTCAAGAGATATCAGTTTGACGTCGGTATCTTGGGGCCCGGCTGGGTCTCGTCCCTCACTTCCGTTTCTCCTCCGTTTTTCTGTTCGTGCGCCTTCTGACGCCCTAAAAAGCTTCTCTTCTCGTCGGGTGCAGATCGTGGTGAGGAATGTGAGCCGACTGTGCCACGCCAAGCCCATCGTCACTGTGAACGGCAGGTTCCCGGGGCCGACCATCTACGCTCGGGAAGGCGACCGGGTGATCATCAACGTCACCAACCACGGCCAGGTCAACATGTCCATCCACTGGTAAGCTCGCGCCGATAATAGAGGCTCCTCCTTCATCCCTTCCTCCCCTCATCCCCCGCATAGTGACGGCTAGGGAATGCTGTGGCTGTGGTGTTGTCACAGGCACGGGCTGAAGCAGTTCAGAAGCGGGTGGGCGGACGGGCCGGCCTACATCACGCAGTGCCCGATCATGCCCGGCCTGAGCTATGTCTACGACTTCAACGTGACCGGGCAGAGGGGAACGCTGTGGTGGCACGCCCACATCTTCTGGCTTCGAGCCACCGTCTACGGAGCCTTCGTCATCATGCCCAAGCAGGGGGACGTGTACCCCTTCCTCCAACCCGACCAGGAGGCCAACATCGTGCTGGGTGGGCAGCGGAGGAAGATGAATGGCGGTTTTCCTTTTTAACAGTCGTCGCCATCGTTTGTTTATTATGGGTTTGTTGTGCCGGCGCTGGTACAGGAGAATGGTGGAATGCCGACGTTGAAGCGGTGGAGATGCAGGGGAAACAGCTGGGGCTGCCGCCGAACATGTCCGACGCCCACACCATCAACGGAAAGCCGGGGCCGCTCTTCCCCTGCTCCGAGAAGCGTGAGTAGTAAAGAGAAGAGGCCTCACCTTCTTCCCCCCTTCGTCCTTCCCTTCATCGAATAGAGAGCGACAGCCCGGCGGCGATGCCGAACGATCTCCCCTTTTGCTGATGAGCAGACACCTACGCCATGGAGGTGGAGAGGGGGAAGACCTACCTGCTGAGGATTGTCAACGCTGCACTCAACGACGAGCTGTTCTTCGCCATCGCCGGCCACTCCATGACGGTCGTCGAGATAGACGCAGTCTACTGCAAGCCCTTCTCCACTGACGCCATCCTCATCGCGCCCGGCCAGACGACGAACGTCCTCATCAGGGCTGACCGGACCCCCGGCCGCTACTTCATGGCCGCCAGGCCCTTCATGGACGCTCCCATCACCGTCGACAACAAGACGGCGGCGGCCATTCTCCAGTACCGCGGGGTGCCCACCACCGTGCTGCCTTCTCTGCCCAGCCTGCCAGCGCCCAACGACAGCGCCTTCGCCACCGGTTACAACGACAAGCTCAGGAGCCTCAACAGCCCCCGGTTCCCGGCGAGGGTGCCCCTTGCCGTCGACCGCCGCCTGTTCTACACCATCGGCCTGGGGGTGAACCTCTGCGCCACCTGCGTGAACGGGACCCGGCTAGCGGCGTCACTCAACAACATCACCTTCGTCATGCCCAAGGTGGGGCTCCTGCAGGCACACTACTTCAACATGAAGGGGGTCTTCAGGACGGACTTCCCCGACAGGCCCCCGAAGCCTTTCAACTACACCGGCGCGCCGCTGACGGCCAACCTCGGCACGTCGCTGGGTACCCGGCTCAGCCGCCTCGCCTTCAACTCCACCGTCGAGCTGGTCCTGCAGGACACCAATCTCATCACCGTCGAGTCCCATCCCTTCCATCTCCACGGCTTCAACTTCTTCGTCGTCGGCCGGGGGGTCGGCAACTTTGACCCCGCCAAGGACACGGCCAAGTTCAACCTCGTCGACCCTCCCGAAAGGAACACCGTCGGCGTCCCCACCGGCGGATGGGCCACCATCCGCTTCCGCGCCGACAACCCTGGTGAGCGTTCTCAGATAGAGAGGGAGAGAAAGAGAGTCTTTGCTGACGCATTGTTCCTTTCCTTCTTTCGCTGGTTTTCAGGGGTCTGGTTCATGCACTGCCACCTCGAGCTCCACACGACGTGGGGGTTGAAGATGGCCTTCGTCGTGGAGAACGGGAGCGGTCCGGAGCAGTCGATCCTGCCTCCGCCAAAGGACCTCCCGACCTGCTGAAGGGTCTTGAGGAAAGTTGCAGACAGTGCCTCCCCGGCAAGGGAGCGGGGCGGCATCGAAACCTCCTCAGGAGATAGATAAATGGTAATCTCGGTGTTTGCACGACCGAGAGGCCAAGATTTGTGTGATCCCAGACCAGTCTTCTTCACGAATGATAATTCTATTTATTTCTACAGTCACCCCAGGACGATCGATCGCTGGGCAATGCGGAATCTGTCATTTGTTGGGAGCAAAAACTTGCTCGAGGATCGTGTGAGAGAAGAAGAAGAAGAATCAAGACTAAGATTTCAAGAACACAACATCAATACTCTGTCTATTTCGTCCTACACAAGAAGTACAGTTATAGGAGAGAGATACCGTTCGCTAAACAGTCTGTGGAACCCACGTTCCCGTAACTCCTAATTAAGCCGTTATAACTCAGCTGAGGAGAACGGTCAGGATTAATGTCTCAATGTCTTCAATCTCCCCTCTAACCCAAATATTTCCATCATCTTCAGACATGCTCAATTTTTGACATAGTTCGTCGAATCGATCTCTCCCCAATGCCTTTGAGAGTATATCAGCTAATTTTTGACCTGCTCCACTTCAGTCTTTTGTTCTTGGAGGCAGGATTGAATGAAGTGATACTGTGTACCAATGTGCTTTGATCTGCTATGCTAAATTTGATTTTTCGACAATGCAATTACAAATTTATTGCTTATAAATTGTTTTACCTAAGTGAGTTTCTCCATCTTCAATTCACCGATAAGCTTTGCTAACCAAATCTCTTGGTAGACTGTAGTAGTAGCATTATATATTCTGCTTCGCACAAGGATAATACAATTATCTTTTGTTTTCGTGAAGTCTAGCTATCAAATTTGATCCAAGGAAGAATTAAAATCTGATTGTACTTTTCAAATCAGCTAGGTCTCCAACATGATCTTGATATAGAGAAATTGGTTTTTTTCTTGCAGATCATACAGTGATTTATAATACCTATAACATACCGAAGAACTTGCTTTAATGCTGCCATGTGTTTTGATGTAGGTACTTCCATATACCAATTGAGACAACTCACTTAATAAGTCAAATCAGGTCGTGTGAATTACGTACCTCAAGCTCCCAATTATATTTCTGAACTTAGTACAATCAATTGGTGGATTTTTACTATCTTCACTGAACTTGAATTGAGCTTCTAGTGGTGTGGAAACAAAATTGAAATCTTGAATTCTACTCTATTCAAGTAATTGTAGAGCATAGCTCTTCTACTTTAGCTTGATCACATCTTCCTGTTGTTCCACATCAACTCCAAGATCACTCATCTCTAATTGTTTCATCATTTGTTGTTTGAAATCTGAAATGCCTTTTTCATTTGTTCCTATGATCATGAGGTCATCCACATAGACTTCGATTATCAGATGAGCTTCATTTGATGACTTTATGTAGATTGCATGCTCTTGTGAGCTTCTAACAAAATCAAGTGAGGTAAAGCTTTTATCTAACTTTGTATACCAAGCTTGAGGAGCTTGTTTCAAGTCATAAAGTGACTTTTTTAACTTTAAAACATAATTCTCCTTACCTTTTCTCATGAAACCTTCTAGTTGTTTGAAAAACACTTCTTCTTCCAATTCACCATTTAGAAATGCTGACTTCACGTCTAAATGATGAAGTTTTTATCCAATCTTGCCTCCATCCTTGCTACTGATGTAAAAACTTCTTCATAGTCAATGCCGAATTGTTGAACATATCTCTTTGCAACAAAATGAGCCTTGCACCGAATAATTTCTCTTTGAGAATTTTGCCTCACCTTGAATATCTATTTTAGGCTAATGGGTTTGCATCCCTTCAGTGCTTAGATGAGACTTTGTGTTATTTTTCTTGATCACTTCAATTTCTTCCTCCATAACGTTTTTCCATATTTCTTGTGTCACTACCTTTTGATATGAGGTGGGCTCCTTGATAAGTCTTCATTATCATGAGTTAATAATTAGTAAATAATATAGTTTTAGCCTTAACTCATGATAAATAGACTTATATTTGTGTTAAAGCATGAAAAGTGGTTTTCAGTTGATTAACGTGAATTTTTGGGTAATTATGTGATTTTATACGATTTTTACAGTCTTAGTTTTGAGATAAATGAAGAACAAGAAATAAAAATAAAAATATTGCAAAATGAGGAAATCCGCCGGCCAGCCGGGCTCGCAAGCGGGTCGGAAGCGCAGTTGGGGAGTAGCCGCGAGCAGGGGCTCGAGCGGCTTGCTTGGATCGACAGGGGCACGTGTGCGCCACTCCCCTTCCACGTCACCGGTAGTCAGCCGACTGTGGGGCAAGGAGTGGTCGTACACGCGAGAGGACTTTGCCTAGAAAGCTAACTTTACTATATAATCGCCCAAATAATCCGCGCACAACCGATGTGGGACTAAATCCACCTTGTTCAGGGGCGGGCGACCGCCGCGGGTTCGAATCCTCCCAGAGTCAAAATTCATATATTTTTAACTGATTATCGCGACTTTCCTGCAGATCGCCGGTGAAGGATTAAGCAACCGGAATCGCTGGATCATCGGCGAAAATCTCGTCAACGCGATTCGCGGAGCATTGCTACTAAAATTTCTGAACGATTCGCGATAAAAGGATCGCAATCCATCGAGTAAATCATCTCCGATTGATCGACGAACAAGCCGTCATCGGGAAGAGGACGATCCGCCGGGAGACCAGTCGCCACCTCCTGAGAGCGTACCAGATACGATGAAGAGCCTCCTCTTGCTGCGCGGACCTGAGGATGAAGCTCCCTAACACGTGCCTCACCTCCATCCAGCTCCTCTCCGTCGGGTGACAGCCGCCGGAGAGCCGCAAAGTCGCCGTTTTTCCGCTCCGCCGGGTGACAGCCGCCGGAGACGATTCGACGACCCACTTCATTGGTCTCTAGACTTCGCGAGAAGATCTAGAGATTGCCCACGTCGTCTTTGTCCAAGGAGAGCCTTCGAGGCCGTGGACACTACACGACGACCCTCCCGAACGCTCAGGATTCCGGTGCATCGCCGACGCGTCGCCGTCGCGACGCCGGAACTCTGTTTTCCTGCTTTATCTAGAGATTGCCCACGTCGTCTTTATCCAAGGAGAGCCTTCGAGGCCGTGGACACTGCACGACGATCCTCCCGAACGCTCAGGATTCCGGTGCATCGCCGACGCATCGCCGTCGCGACGCCGGAACTCTGTTTTCCTGCTTTCAATTTAATTTACGCTTCATTTAGTGATACTTTGTTGATTTTTATTTACCAAACTATACTTCGTTCAACTACGATTCTTCCGGCTTTTACAGATCTTAATTTGATTAATTGAGTCGTCTGTAATCGCCTACGTAAGATTCGCCGGGCGGAACTCTGTTTCCGCCTGATTCGCGTTCGCCGGGCGCTGACGTCATCCTGACGTCCGCACCCTTATTTCCTCTTTTTTTTTGTGAATTTTAAATATATTTCTTTTTTATTTCCTAGTATAAAATTCGTAAGAAAATCGTACTCATTGAGAAAAATTCTGAATAATTACCAGATATTATATTACATCCCTGTGATCGACCTGGAAAATTACCACTATTTTTGGGATTTGTATTGAATTACAATTGATATATTTATTTTGAAATACTTCTAAATATCCGAAAATTCGTATTTTCTAGTTTTATAAATTTTATATTTGCGTGATTTAATATACAACGACTGAGTCACGTCACTCCTCATACATTAAGTGAAATTCTTCAATCTCTCTAGACTTGGTCTATGTCTTTGTATCTTCTTGGGTAGTCTTCCTCTATGGATGAAGATCTGTCTTGTTCATGATTAGAGGAATTTTTAGGCCTTGCTTTATAGTCAATATGGTCAACTTGAGTTTCCCCTACATCAATTGAATCAATAAAAGATGAAAAATAAAGTGTGCCTCTACTTGTTTGATCAATGTGATTCTAGTCCCACTAATTATCTTCTTTGAAAATTATATCTCTACTGATGTGAACTTTACCGTCCTGTAGATTATAGTACCTATAACCCTTTGTGCCAGCTTCATAACCTATGAAGATCATAAGTTTACCTCTATCTTGTAGTTTTGTTAGTCGTTGTCCGAGTGTCTTCACATGGGTCAATGAGCCAAATACTCTAAGATGGGCTATATTTGGCTTTGAACCAATCAAGACTTCATACAACATAACTCCATCTAGGCTTTTAGTGAGAGACCAATTCAAGATGTAAACACATGTTCACAACTTCAACTTAGAGTTCAAGAGGTAAGATTTTTTCTTTCAACATGCTCTGGACCATTTCCATGATTGTTCTATTCCTCTTTTCTACAACACCATTTTGTTGAGGTGAATAAGGGGTAGAGAGTTGTCGTTTCACTCTATGTTGAATGTAGAAAGAAAAAACTCAGCATAAGTGAATTTTCCCCTCTGATTAGTTCTTAGAGTTCTCATCTTTTCTCTTTTCTCTAGCTCAATTATTTTCTTGAACTTCAAAAATATTTGAAAAGCTTCATTTTTCTACCTCAATATTGCAACCCACATTTGTTTTGAGTAGTCATCCACAACAAGGAAGTACATGTTTTCTCCATTAGTAGGAGAGATGGGCCTATAGATGTCTTCATGAACAAACTCTAATACTCTACTAGCTCTGAATTTAGAAGAGAATGGGAATGGGCTTCTGTGTTGCTTACTAGCAACATAGTCTCAACAGAGATTGTTCAAGATGTTAATTATAGGCAATTCTTTCATCAGGTTTCGGGAGGAGAGTTCTTCTAATGAATGAAAATTTAAGTGCCCTTACCTTCTATGCCATTTCCAATCTGCCTAATGGCACCATTTAAAAATAAGACAATGTTCTTCAATGTACAACTATAGTAAATATAGTCTATCTTGTGTCTTCTTCACCTTTGCTAGAAGTCTTTTGTGATGATCAGAGATAGTAAAGAAACCAAATGTCACCACCATCTTGAATCCTTGATCATCTAGATGACCGAGACTAAGAATATTGATCTTGAGTCTAGGAGAATATAGAACATTACTAAGTTTACTTCCATCCTAGCAATTCACAAGAATGCTTCCTCTACCAAAGATGTCAATGATGGATCCATTGTCAAACTTTACTGCACCACTTGGTAAATCATCAAAATCACAAAACAAGCTCCGTCTCCCTATCATGTGGTTTGTGGCACCAGTGTCTAGGTACCACATTCCTTCTTCAACCTGAGTTTCTTGTATTCCTTGCAGTAAAAAATCATTAATTTCTGTCATGAGAAGTGTGGATTCAGCCTTTTCTTCAGTATTAGTAGGGTGAGCTTTCTCCTCCTTTTTTTCTGCATAACATTCAGAGGGCATAATGTCCTATTTTGTCACAATTGTAACATTTTACCTTATATTTGTTTCGAGGTTTCTAGTTCTCATCAGCACTTCTGTCATTGCCTCTTCCTCTGCCTCGATTGCATCCTCTACCTCGTCTATGTCCTCTGTCTCGAGAGCCTTCTCCTCTTGTTTTCTCAGTACCATGTGAAAAGAGGACTTCTTTTCTCTACTGACGAGTCTTGAGCTTCTCTTCATAGATTTTTAGAGATCACTGACAGGGCTCATCGCTCCTTTTTTCTTACTACTGTCTCTGACTCAATAGCTTCCGACAGACTATCAGCCTCCAAGTGGAGTTGCATCTGCATTGCCCACAATGGATAGTTGGCCTTGGACAATACTGGGAATGTATCTAGGTATCCGGCATCTCCAGGTCCTTCCATAGCATTTTCATGGTGCGGCATTGTGTCTTCTATCTGAAACCGCTCTGATACCTAATGTTGAGAGCAAAAACTTGCTTGAGGATCATGTGAGAGAAGAAGAAGAAGAATCGAGAGTAAGATTTCAAGAACACAACAAAAAGTATATTTATAGGAGAGAGGGAGAGAGTAACTTTCGCCACAGACAGTTATGAACCCACGTTTCCACGTAACTGTTAATCAAGCCGTTATAACTCAGCTGAGGAGAACGATCAGGATTAAAATAAGCAAGACAATGGAAAATACTAAAATAATGAAACATTCATTGTCGGGGTAACAGCCACAGTTTTCTCCGACTCCGGCGATCTTCACGGACATGTTCTTTGACTGGGGTTGATGCCTTCATCCTTGAACGCGTAGAATATACTGAAAAGATTCAGATCCTGTGTTCGTTTGTGCCCTCTGCGGCTCCCGTTGACTCTGATATCCCTCTACCCGGAACGCGCAGGGCTCTCACGCCACAGGATGGGCCTCCGAAAAGGGCATTGCGATAAACTATTCTCGCTAAGATCATTGTTGCTTGGGTAGAGAGAGAGAGAGAGAGAGAGAGGAAGAGATGGTCGTAGCGGTCGCGACGGCCGGGGTTGTCGGCGGTTCTTCTTTCACGGCATCGCGTTGCCTCCCGTGGCCGAAGCAGGCGCGGCGGCATCTGCCCAGGCATGACGAGCTCCTTGATCGATCCTTTCGTCTTGGCTTTTTTCTTTTTTTCCCCTTTTTCCGCCTGGTTCCTCTGCCTTGCTTCATCTCTTCGCTTTCGCGTGGGAACCAGGTCCGTGGGGAGAAGCAGAGGCGGCGCGGCGGCGACCATGAGCGCGTCTCAAGGGACGGTGTCGACTGCTTCACTAGTAGAAAGCGTTCGGGTGGTGGAAGGTAACGGCGGGCTCCCCGTCATCAAGCTCAATTCAGCCGGTGGAAGGTAGAGCCCCCACCAGCCCAAAACCCAAAATTAAGGAAGATCGAAGGATCTGAGTATTGGAGATAAACGATCGCTCTCCGATAGGTCTTGGGTGTGGATGCTTTCGAGTGCAATAATAATTAATCGATAGGTCCTGGAAATGAATGATTCCAGGGTTGGTCCCCGCGATCGCATCTCAAGAGTCGGGAGCAGCCACGATCTTGTTCTTCCCAACCAAACGGCGATTTATTTTTCGGCTCTATTCCGCCGGCGAAGGCGAAAATCGTCGAGACTTGCTCGCTATCTTCTAATATCTTGAGAACAACAGCAATGTCGCCGACGTCGAATTAGTTCATCGGATACACGAAATCAGATTTCAGCTCCAAATTGGAAACCTGTAGCACTCCGACCATTGTATTCAAGAATCGAACTCACTCTCAGCACATCCCTTCATTCGGCTGACTTTTTTATCACGTAAACTTCTCCGTTTTTTCTTCTTTTTCTTCCTCAAGCGCATGGATGTACAGTTAGTACCCCCCGGATAATTTATCATCCGAATCTATCTTTTTATCTGGATTTCGACGAGCTCTATCCACGATTAGTATTTATCTTCATCATATCGCTCGTGTTCACAGCGAGGCCGAGCTTTATCTGTTCGGCGGCTGCATCACTTCGTGGACGATCCCCAGTGGGAAGGACCTGCTCTTTGTCCGCCCGGACGCAGTCTTCGACAAGAAGAAGCCCATCAGGTGCTTGATCCAATGACCCAACCGCAGAGTTCACCTTCTTTCTTCAGACCCCCATGATCCCGCGGATGGGTGTTGTCAAGTGTCCTTATATTTCTTTTTAGTCGGCCCAGTACTTCTTGAAGGCCGTAATCACTCCATCTTCTGTCGTCGGTATGAACAGCGGAGGAATCCCCCACTGCTTCCCGCAGTTCGGCCCCGGGCCCATCCAGCAGGTAATTAGTCAATGCCTGTAGATAAATACGTTGTAAATACGAGCATATATTCACGGGTTGTAAATAAATGGGAAAGAAGTCTCGTGTTCGAGCGGCTCTTCGACGGTTTTCTTCTTTTTCAATCTTTTTTTTTCTCTATTTAATATATACAGCACGGGTTCGCGAGGAACCTGGACTGGTCCGTCGTGGGAGCTGAGAACGTGGAGGGCGATCCTGCGGTGACGTTGGAGCTGAGGGACAACCCATACAGCCGGGCGATGTGGGACTTCAGCTTTCAGGCCCTGTACAAGGTGAATTACTCTCTCTCTCTCTCTCGATCGCGCACTTGTTTACAGTTCGTTCTTCCTTGCACATCCGGTGCTCGCGGCCGATTGATGGATCCCCTTTTCGACTCGATTCTGTTGGGTCGGAAATTTCTGCTCTCCGGAGAGGGCAATAAATTTACATCATAATCGTTATTTCTGCCGGCGAAATCTGCGGCCGTTCATCCCCATCGCAGGAGAGAGAGAAAGAGAGAGAGAGAGAGAGATTACTTGTTTCTGGAAAACCTGAGATCACTTTGTCAATATCTCCTTTCAAGGAATCGCTGGGTCCCCACATTTTTATTGTAATTTTGTATTTTTTTAAGGTTACCCTGAGCTCCAAGTCCCTGGTGACAGTGCTGACGATTACGAACACAGACAGCAAGCCCTTCTCTTTCACTGGCGCCCTGCACACGTACTTCAGGGTGGGATTCTACCGATGCCCTGCTCGCCATTGATGGTGGATTGGTTTGTGCCCAAAATCTTTTATTTCCTCCCAGTTCATTCTAAGAACCAGGGTTTTGGCCTCTGTTCTTCGCCATCTCCGAGCAGGCCTCCATCGAAGGCGTGTCGGTGAGGGGTCTCAAGGGCTGCAGGACGCTGAACAAGGATCCCGACCCGGTCAACCCCGTAGAGGGAGTGGAGGAGAGGTCGGCGCCGTCGATTCCATCCACAGTTTGTCCGTGCTGCGATGTTCTTCCGCCGCATGAATGAATGACTGAATGACTGAATGACTGAATGAATATCCAGAAGTAATCTGGGGGAACTGCGATGATCTGATGTTGGGTGGGTGTTCAGGGAGGCGGTCGTCTTCCCCGGATTCGTGGACTGCATCTACCTCGACGCCCCCGGGGAGGTGGTTCTGGAGAACGGGCTGGGGAACGCTCTGAGCATCCGGAACAGGAAGTACGTTTGGCTCCCTCTGCATTTCGCCGTTGTCTTCTTGCCGCCGCTTTTCTCTTCCGATCAATGTGGAGCTTCTCTTCCCTTCCCGTCCCTTCCCTTTGCCTTCTTTCTCCCTGCCCCGCAGCTGGTCGGACGCCGTCCTCTGGAACCCGCACCGGCAGATGGAGAGCTGCTACCGGAACTTCGTCTGCGTCGAGAATGCCAAGGTAATAATAATAATAACCGGGGGATCTCTCTCTCTCTCTCTCTCTCTCTCTCTCTCTGTCCCTCACGCTGGATTTCGCTCCTCAGAAGAGCGGCTCTGAGCTCGATTTCGATTCCTTGCGACCTGTTCATCAGATCGGAAATGTCGAGCTGGAGCCGGAGCAGTCGTGGAGCGCCGAGCAGGTCATCGCCGTGCTGGAGAAGCAGAAATAGCGCCGGCTGCCCCGTGGGACGGCAGCCATGGTTCCGGAGCTCTTGAATTTTCATTTTCTGCGTGTTCGTTACCCTGAGTGAACATCCATCAATCCGCTCGTCCGGCGAGGAGGCCACTTGTTGGATGATGCTTCCAGCCTGTTGGGATTTTTCTAATAAGAGATGAAATGATTCCGCTTCTTCTTCTTCTTCTTCTTCTTCTTCTTCTTCTTCATCCTGCTCGTCGTTGAATGAATGATCTTGATCAGTCCTCACCAGTAGTCGCCGCAGGAGCAGGTCCCGTCGGCGAAGAGGTGGAAGCGGGTCCGGTCGCGCATGATAATCCGGCGGCGGTAGAGCTTGGAGACGAGCTTGGCGGCGGCGTGGCAGTCCTCGCAGACGCGGAGGTTCTTGACGATGCGGAGCCCGCTCCCAGGTTCGGTGCTGATGAGCCCGAAGGCCATGGCGAGCTTCTCGCTGTGGGAGCAGAGCGCCGCCGCCTTCTCATCCTGCTCCTCCAGGCCCAGCAGGGCGGCGCCGCCTGTCGCTGGCGCGTACCCGTGTTCCTTCAGCCTCGCCATCATTCTCTCCAGCTCCGCGTAGATCTCGCAGGAGCGCGGGTGGGAGCGGTCGCCGGCGACGAACTCATCGACGCCGCCGTCGACGCAAATGGCGCTGCAGCCGGGGAGCTTCCTGACGCCCCGCTCCTTCATCAGGCTCCTCACGGCGGCGGCCTCGGGCCACCGGCCCTCGCCGGCAAGGACCTTCGCCAAGTTGACGTACCGCCCGCCGTGGCCGGAGTCCAGCTGGAGGAGGATCTGGCCCACCTCCTTCCCCATCTCCCAGTTCCCATGCGCTCGGCTGGCGCTCAGCAGCGCCCCCCACACGATGACGTTGCCACCGCTGCCGCCGCTCTGCGCCGCCCGCTGCGCCATCTTCCTGGCTTCTTCCAGCAACCCGGCACGGCCGAGGAGATGGACCATGCACCCGTAGTGCTCCGCCACAGGGGGGAAGCCGTAGTCACATCTTTCCATCCGCCGGAAAATGGCCCTCCCCTCCGCCACCAGCCCCGAGTGGCCGCACGCCGTCAGGGCGGCGGTGAGGGTAATCCGGTTGGGGTGTAACCCCCTTTGCGGCATTTCCTCGAACAGGTCAAGGGCTTCTAGGCCACGACCGTTGACGCCGAGGCCGTGGATCATGGCCGTCCACACGCAGACGTTGCTGTTGACCGTTGTCCCCCCCGCCGCCACCGTCTTCCTGAACAGGCGGATGGCGGCATCCACCTCGCCGCACTTGGAGTACATGTCTACGAGGGCGCAGACCAGCGTGGGGTCGACGGCGATGCCCTCTCTCTCGACGTAGGCGCCAATCCACTGCCCCTGCTCCAAAGCTCCGAGTTGGGCGCACCCCGAGAGGGCGGCGGCGAGCGAAGCGGCGTCCGGCCGGAGACCGGCGAGCTGCATACCACGGAAGAGGGCAAGGGCCTCCCTGGGCAGCCCGCTCTCCGCGCAGCCGTGGATCACCGTCGTCCAGGAGACGAGGTTCCTCGCCGCCGCCGGCATGGCATCGAACAGCTCGCGCGCGGCGCCGATCTTGCCGGCGCTCACGTACCCGGAGAGCATGGAGTTCCAGGAGACGACGTCGCGGCGGGGCATTCGGTCGAACACCTGACGGGCGCACGCCGGCCCCCCGGCGCCGTTGGACTTGGCGTAGGCGTGGATGAGGGAGTTGGCAGTGTAGACGTCGGAGGCGAAGCCTGTCTTCACCACGTGGGCGTGGACCTGCCGGAGCTCCTCGGCGGCGCAGGCCCTGAGAAGGAAGGGGAAGGTGTGGTCATTTGGTAGCGGCGGCGGGGAGTCGCTGCGGAGCATCTTGCAGTAGACGAGGAGGGCCTCGTCGGGGCTCCGACTGTGGGAGTGAGCTCTGATCAGGGCGTTCCACATGAACGCGTTGGGACGGGAGACTCCGTCAAGGACCTGCTCGGCGTAGGCCAGGCTGCCGGAGGAGGGGGCGGCAGAGAGAGCGGCCAACAGGGCGCCAGTGAGGTGGTCGTCGGTGATCAGCCCGGTTTTGATCATGCAACCGTGCAACGCCGCGAGCTCTGCTGCAGCGCCTCCCGAGCATCTCTCCAGCAGCAGCCTCTTCAGACGCGCCGCCTCCTTGGGCGGCGTCCTCCCCCTCCTCCCGGTGTCGGGTTTGAATTCGAAGGAAGGAGCCAGCGGCAGCAGAGGGGCGACGGCAGCGGCGGCCATGGCGTCTGATTTGACGGTCTCGCCGGCCGACTAATGAAGACAGTGGCCTACCCAACCCGGACGGATGGCAGGACGGGATAGGGTCGCTTTGGCGAAAAGGAGTCGCCTTTATACTTACTCTCTCTTGCTCGCTCGAGCCCAAACAAACAGTCGGTTGTAGAAGGGAAAAAGCAACCACATGAACTGCGAAGAGAAACAAGAACAAGATGATTCGCCGATAGCCATACCCATCTTCGAACTCCCCATGAAATGAAAAACAATGATGATGATGACGATGATGATGATGATGATGATGATGATGATGATGATGATGATGATGACGGTGATGAAGGTGATGAAGGTGATGAAGGTGATGAAGGTGATGAAGGTGATGAAGGTGATGAAGGTGATGAAGGTGATGAAGGTGATGAAGGTGATGAAGGTGATGAAGGTGATGAAGGTGATGAAGGTGATTATGATGAAGCCATGGAGAAGAACGGCGGAGATGAGATGAGACGAGATGAGACGAGATGAGACGAGATGAGATGATGAGGGCGGAGTCATCTGCCGGGGAAGACGGGTGGACGGTCCCTCTGGACGGCCTGGGAGAGGTTGAGATCGAAGAGCTCGCAACGGATGGGCATCTCCATCTCGTAGAAGGGGTTCTTCAGGACGAAGTCCGTGTACAGCTCGTAGATCGCCTTCAGCAGGGCCTCCATATTCGCCCGCCCAGGCTCGCACACCACGAAGAATTTTGTCCCTGAAATAAAATTAAATCACAATCAACAACAATCTACTTCTTCTCAACTCCTTTTCTTTTTATTTTCTTTCTTTCTTTCTTGCTTGCTTGCTTTCTTTCTTTCTTTTTTTCTTCTTTAAGTAAGCGAGGATATGGGTTGACCTTTTCTCAAAGAACATACATCTCACGAGATGGGTTGACTTTTTCTCAGCGTGAATCTATATTATTGATATGAGGGAGAGGATGACTAAAAGGATCTATCTATCTGTGCCACAGCAAAGAGCCCTCGATCCTCCCCCTTGGGTGAATGATCACTGTCAAGTCTCCGATTCTCATGAGCTGGGGTTGACTTCTCCAAGTGCAATTGGCCATTCGCGGATATACTGAGACGGAGGAGAGGGCTGGTAAAACGGCCTATGGCACCACAAAGATTTGAGAAAGTATCCTTTTGCTGCATGCTCAGCATCTTATGGTTTTAATGAAGAAAGTGGCTCCACCAGCTCCCCCTCATAGAAGAGCAGAAATGGCCCGAGAATGATTGACATATGATATAGGGTTTTGGTCCAAGACCGGTCCTCGGACCAAGAAGAGCATCATCCGCCTCCACGTCCACTTCCCCCGCGGATAGTGGAGACAGTAGCCAAGTAAACTTGATTCATAAAACCAAGAACGGAAATCGGGGGACTTTATGGCTGAGTTCATCTCCTCACACCAAATCAGATCTACTTCTCACTGGAACAAATGAGACGAATGGCCGCTAAACAGATTTTAATCCCCCCCCCCTTCCTTCTCCAAAAAAGGCATCAGACTTAGCACCACTGGGACATTTTCGATTGTTGTCCGTCCCAACAACAACGACCAGGAGACAAGAAATGGAGTGGCAAGCTCCTGGGATTCTCTGCATAAATGGTATTTTGTCCAAACAGACAGGAGATGAGATATGGAACACTTGACAACCATGGGAATGCGCATAACAACGGCAATAATATATAAATCATGATAATGGTGAATGCAGAACACGATACGTTATTTTCGATAAGGATAAAATTTCAGTTTTCGTACTGACTCGTGGAGATCTTCTTGACGAATATTCGATGCAGTTACAATGGATCACAATGATCAAACAATTCGAAATAAAATCATAAATTGATTGAAAGAAGTGAAGGCTTTGCAAGTCAAGAAAATAAAAGCATTATGACAAGCGCTGATTCCTCAAAGTTAGCGGGCAAATCATAAAATAAGCCCTAAAGTATGATGAATATAACCCTGAATATAGGTATCAACACCTGCAACTTCAATGTTGCCGCTTGAAAAGTCGTAATGGCTATTTTGCATAGAATACCAACTAAAAAATGTTAAAAACTACTTAACAAAGAATGAATCCTTTACAATAAATAATAAAGCTTTTCAAGGTGTAAAAACGCTTCCAATGGGAGATGACTCAGGCTTCGATGTATTCAAACATCCAAGGATTTAGAGCGCTCTCTCTCTCTCTCTCTCTCTCTCTCTCTCTCTCTCTCTCTCTCTCTCACACACACACACACACACACACACACAATCATAAAGCTCTCCAATGGTCTTGTCAATATTCAAGTGGGCTATCAAATTCTGTTCTTGCCTTATTATCAAACTGAGAGTTTCACACTTTTGTTCATACCATCTCCATTGTGTTGCACCAGCTTTTTATCAAGAAGGGCCTATGTTGCTGTAAAAATGTCTAGTTAACACTTTACGTAAGCTAACTTACACTGGATTAGATGTAGTGGCCTATGGGAAGGCTTGGAGTATATCCAAACCAGTTGGATAAAACCAATCTTACAAGATATTATCCAATACTCTCCTTCAATATTTGACAGTTTTCAAATCAAAACCATGTCACATGTCACACATCCGAAAACATCCTTCATGTTTGAGATGTAGAAATCAGAGAGCAAGCATCATCCGTTCAAACCTAGTCACTTCCTAAGCCTGCCAAGTATCCTTGTTTCCAATGAACCTGAAATTGAATTTTCTATATGCTCCTTTGTTATCAGTCACCCCAAACATCACGAAAGTAAAAGACCTCAACCAGAAAGTAGCTTACGAGAAATTATAGCGATCAGAATTTCATGCCAACGCACTCCTAAATCAAATGAGCATCAGTTGATAGGCAGCTCCAAAGCCAGCATGGATAAGACGACGGGCTAGAAGGATTGCAAGGCAATCATACCTCTCAACATCAGATATGATCCTAAGGATTTTCCTATCGAATTCCAAAAGCTTGTACCATTTTTTTTCTTAAAATGTGAAATCTCCAAAAGTATTTTTTAAAAACTGTGCAATCTCGTAAAAAAATATCATCCTACACCCATCCCAATTACAAGGGAGAGAAGGTGCCGTTTCCGAAAGAAGCAGATCAAGTCTATCACTCGTCTCCCGTTGTAGAGAGGGCGAGAGGCGGTAGAGGGGAGGCCGCATCAGAGCCCCTCACGCTCCTTGGGATCATTGTCTCCTCTTCCGAACCCTGGTTGCCATCGGCTGTCTAGGAGGAGAAGAAACAGGCATCCCAACCACAGAAATTAAACCCTCCTTGCCCATCGTCCGCCTCAAGGACCCGGTCGCAGTTATTTAATCACAACGAATCGAATGCTGAATGAGAACGAAGAGGCGCCAAGAAAAAAGGATCTCGATCGTTACCGGTGAGGGACTGGAAGCAGTGGAGATCGAAAGTGTCCGCCTGAAGGAGCTCAATGCCAGAGCAGCCTACTGTCGGCGAGAGCTGTTGGGAGATGGCGTGCATCGAGTGCCACAGGCTCGCCAAACGCAGGCTGTCGTTCGTGTCCATCCGGCCCGCCGATCCGTAGTCCTGCACGGCCCCATCGCCTCGGATCTCAGCGTCCCGCGATCATTCAAGAAGGAGGAATAAGGAGTGGACCAGGCCCCGACCTTGTAGAAGATCAACCCTCCGGACTTATTGATGATGAAAAGGCTGTAGACGGCGACGGTGACCGCCATTCCCGACGCCAGCTCTGATAACACCCGGAGAGAGAGAATGACCACACCGAGAGGGGGAGGAGGAAGAAGAAGAGAGAGGCCCAAAAGTTGTTACTAATGTCCGTTATAATGCCGGCCATCCCTTTGACGCCGGATAATGGGCCTATCTAATTGGGCTAACGTGTACCCAATACAGAACACCGACTTTGAAGGCCTTTATTGGGCCCTCTGGGCTGGGCTGGGCTCTCCTCACCGCGAGGGGATTTAACGGTCCTGCAGCTCCAACAGAACAACGAGGAAGCAGCGCATAACCTGTCAATTCTTCCTTCTCTACTCTCTCTCTCTCTCTCTCTCTCTCTCTCTCTCTCTCTCTCTCTCTCTCTCTCTATTATCTCTCTCAAGGTTTCTCCCTTCTGGGGGCACTGTTGATCCGTGCCTCCCCGGTGCTCCCAGAGGCGTTGGGGCCCCTCTCCGGTTCAGTGCCACGGCAGTCCACCGCATTTTCCGCTCGTAGGAGCTGTTCCTTCCGTCAGCTTACTTCCTAGACCACCGGTGCACGCCACCGGGGCCCCTCCGCTGGAATCCCGCCGCCTACCTGGGCCACCCCCCCCCCCGATTGCCCCCCGCCGTCCGCCGGCGATAGCATGCATCTCTCTCTCTTTCTCTCTCTCTCCCTCCCTCTCTGTCAAAAGGGGACCGACCCTACTGCTCTTTTGGCCGTCACCCTCCTTACTGAGGCGAAGGAGTCCATAGCCGCCCGCTGCGGCGGCTTTCGGTAAACGGCGCCGCCGCCATCGCCCCATGATCTGTCGAGGAGATTCCGGCGGGAGGCGCTGATTGGCCTCGTTGTTTTCAACCTGCGCGTCATTTTCAACGGCAGGTCGTCCGGAAGATCGAATCATACTGTCACCTCGAGATGATGTGCATGCGGGGTCATGTTCTACCACCTAAACGACCACGACAATAAAACTGGGTCAACGCCAAAACGTAAATTTGAACTCGGTTCGGCATGATTAAAGGGTTCTTCCGAAGATATTCAGCTGAGACTGTTACCCAACCTTGCTGCTCTTTGACTTTGTTGAAGTGCGGGCGCCAATGGATCGATCTGTCACGCGAGGTTGAAGCCTTCTGGGCTGGAAGCCTCTCTCCAATTCTATCGCAAGGAGAGGAAAAAATGCACTGGGTCAACGCCATTTTGTCGTCTTGACTATGATCGTCTCTGATTTTTCAACTCTCTCTCTTCTCTCTCTCTCTCTGCTATCTCTCGGGTGCTGATATTTCTTCGACGGATTCTGATTGAAGAGGGTATAACCGGAATGCCTGCCGGCGATTCGCGGCTACTTCTGCCATTTCAGTTGCGGAGAGGGCTTCGTCTTTCTGCCTCTCTGTCTATCAATCTATATAACAGGCCTGCGGCGGAGGTTGGGGGGGGGAGCAGGGAGGAAGACGGTCGTCTGGTGGCCACGGCACCTGCGGCGGCGGCGGCGGGCTCGGTGTGGGGATGGGGGTCGAAGGAGATCTGCCGCCGCCACCTCCCCCTCCGCCGCCGGCTCCCCCGGCGGCGCCGCTCATCCTCGGCCTGCAACCCGCCGCGATGGTAGATCATGTCGCCCGGGTCGACTGGTCTCTCCTGGATCGGGTCCCCGGCGACCGCGGCGGCTCCCAGCAGGTGGGTCTCCCCTTTCGTCGTCCTCCTCTTCCTCCTCAAGACTCGTCGGTCGGAAACCATTGAGACCCATCGCGCTCATCGCCGACGAACCAACGGGCAATTCTCGGCGACGACGATCTCTGACAGTCCCCGGATTCGCCTCGGCCATGTAGCGAGTTTTGGTGACGATGGATCCTCTCTGGTCAGGTCGCCCTCGAAGATCTGGAGCAGATCCTGAGGGAGGTGAACGCCCGCCAGGTTCCCCCCCTTGGTGAAGGAGACGCCGCCTCGCCAGTGAGGACAATCGCCGGCGGCAGCGTCGCCAACACCATCCGCGGGCTCACCGCCGGCTTCCGTATCTCCTGTGGGATCATCGGGGCCTGCGGGGACGACGACCAGGGCCGCCAGTTCGTCGGCAATATGGGCCGCAGCGGGGTGGACCTCTCGCGGCTGCGGATGAAGAAGGGCCCAACGGGGCAGGTGAATGAACGAACTAACGAATGCCCTTATCACCTTTTGATCCTCCTCGCTTGCTAAATCATGCACGGCCGCTGTTTGCGTTTATGCTCACGAGAGATCACCACCTCGCCTTCCACCTTCGCAGTGCGCCTGCCTGGTTGACATCGACGGGAACCGCACCATGCGCCCTTGCCTAACCCATGCCGTGAAGCTCCAGGCCCACGAGCTGAGCAGGGAGGACTTCAGGAACTCCAAGGTGAGCTTGCTGCTCCATTCCATCTCAAGTCTGCCCATCTGATCATCGATCGATCGGCTGTATGTACTCCATGGAGTCAACCCCCGCCCCCGTGCAGTGGCTGGTGGTGAGGTACAATTCTTACAACCTGGAGTCGATTCATGCCGCCATCCGGCTGGGCAAGCAGGAAGGAGTCTCCATTTCCATGGACCTGGCCAGTTTTGAGGTTTTTTTATCTTCTTCTTCTTCTTCGTGCTTTCTCGACCTTGTTTCAGTCGTCCGTCTTCCCCACAAACACCCCCCTCCCCCCCCCCCGGCGTCTGTCTCTGATGATGCGCGTGGTGGCTTCGCAGATGGTAAGAGACTTCCGCACACCACTTCTCAGTCTGCTGGAAGGTGGGCTCATCGATCTGTGCTTCGCCAACGAGGATGAAGCCAGAGAACTTCTCAGGTAACCTCTCTCTCTCTCTCTAGTATCCTGCATGGAGACCTTAATGGACCTGGGTGGATGATGAAATCGATCTTTTCTTCTTTCCGCGTCTCAGAGGAGAGCCCAAGGCGGACCCCGAGGCGGCGGTGGCGTTCCTGTCCAAGCATTGCCGGTGGGCGGTGGTGACTCTGGGGTCGAAAGGTTGCATCGCGAAGCAAGGGAGGAAGGTAGAAATCCTCCGTTCACGCACCCTCCCCACCTTCTCGCCGGCGCCGGCTAGCTCTGGTACTTGGGTGAGTGATACAGTCAAAAATCTATCGCCGGTCGTCGCCGCAGGTTGTTCGGGTTCCGGCGGTGGAGGAGTCGCAGGCAGTGGACGCCACCGGCGCCGGCGATCTCTTCGCGAGCGGGTTCCTGTACGGGCTGGTGAGGGGGCTGCCGCTGGAGGACTGCTGCAAGGTGGGAGCCTGCACCGGCGGCTCCGTTGTCCGCTCCCTCGGCGGCGAGGTGAGGCCGGAGAACTGGCTCTGGATGTACAAGCAGATGTTGATCAAGGGCCTGCCCCTCCCTAGCTCCGTCTCCCATTCGTTTACTGTCTGAATTTTAAGTCAAGCTCCATGATGTCAGAGCTTCAACCTCTTTCTGCAGCTCTCTCTCTCTCTCTGTCTCACCTAAGATCCACGGTCAAAAATGAGAACAGGGTTTGGATAAAACCAGAAGAAAGAGAATTTTTCTCGCTTGAAGATCTGGCGCTGGTGCGAGGAGCGGTCGCAGGCGGCCTTGTTGACGGCGGCCAGGACACGGGAAAATTCGTAAAAGTAGAACTTTTTTTATCATACTACAGCAGGATTTATCATAAGATCCCTAGGGAAACAGCAGGCGGGGCAGGCAGCCACCGTCTTCTTCAGCCCCTGAGAAAAAGTCAAAAGACGTCCACGTTGACCTTTCCCTTATTCAGAAACCCCTCCCCCACCCAAGAGCCATCCATCAGAGGCCGAAGAGGTGAAGCATGATGGCGTTCTGGGCGTGCATCCGGTTCTCCGCCTGGGGGAAGACGATCGAATTGGGGGCCTCCATCACGCCGTCGGTCACCTCCACCCCCCTTTCGGCCGGCAGGCAGTGCATGAAGAAGGCATTGGGCCCCGCCAGCTCCATCAGGACCTCGTTGACCTGCCAACGACAAGGGCGGTGGTCAGTCAACGCGCAAGAGTGGATGGATGCCAATTCCTGCCCAATCTCACGGAGAGGGGGGGGGATCTCATCCAATCTTCCTAGACTTGATTTCCATGAAAGAAGACTTGCTTCCTTCTCCAGTGATCATTCTCTGGAATAAACCACGCATCATATATGTATATATATATAGGGGCTTCTTATTGGACGAAGGATGATGAGGAGCTCCCCACTTTTGCATGATCCATTTTTTATTTGAACTTTCTCTAGACGGGTGTATGCCCGGCGAGAAATCCCAATCCGAGAAGACAAAAAAGATAAAAAGAAATAAAATAAAAGAATACCGGGATGATCGACACAGCTCAAGGGAAAGAAGGATTCATGGGAACTCAAGAAAAAACTGAAGATAAACAGGAATAAATAAATAATAAATCAGAGAAGACAAGAGAAGAGGAGACAAGACAAGACAAGACAAGACAAGGCAATACAGATGTGGGCGCAAAGAATACCTGGAAACCTTGGAACTTGTGCTTCCGGGTGGCAGCCTCCTCCTTCTGGCCCATGCTCGCCCAGACATCGGAGTAAACCACATCCGCTCCCCTCACAGCCCCCGCGACGTCGTGGGTAATCTCGATCTTGCTGATCCCAGCGGCGATCGCCTTCTCAACAGTCTCCCTGTGGGGCTCGAACCCTTCCGGGCAGGCGCACACAAAGTGGAGGGGCACCACTGCCGCCAGGAGAAGCCAAGAGTGGACGATATTGTTCCCATCCCCGACGTACACAATCTGTCATTCACCTCACACATTGGATTAAAAAACGAAAATTTCAGCCCGGATAGCTGCGCACCGCATCCCAAGGGTTCATGAAAACAGCGGGCGTTTTGACTGACCTTGGTCCCCTCTAGTCGGCCCACGTGCTCAGCAATAGTCAGCGCATCCGCCATGATCTGGCACGGGTGGTTGTAGTCGGTCAGCCCATTAACCACGGGCACCGAAGCATATTTCGCCAGATCAAGGATATCCTGTCACAAGGGGAAGCACAGAAGCTCATGAAATGATGGGGAGACTTGGTTGGGACTATGAAATCTCTCAGACTAGGGTTATTTCAGCCCCTCCCGCTTATGAATTAAAATGGACAAACACTAGTTATTTCAAGAAAATTGGCAGCAAATTCCACCTGTTGCCGGGACTTTGGGGCCAACTATAGACAGTAAGTTGTCTATGAAACTCAGGTGCAGGATTGGAGGGGGAGGAAGATTGGGCATTGTGAGGGTTCTTCCGAGTGATCTGACGACCGAGCAAACATCCAGAATGAGATGCGGGACAGAAGTCAGTCTACCATCGGTGGAATACTGCCAGGATAGTACCACAGCAAGGCTGCTTGCGTATATCTAGAGAGAGGCAAATCACATGGCCTTGTTTATCTTTACACTGAATCTTCTCAAGACTCGAAAAGAGCTCAGAAGAACGTTGGGATTGTCAGTGTCAGAAATTATCGAATTTTATCATATTTCCACATTGCACCAAAAAAAAAAAGAAAAAAAAATCAGCAGAGAAGCCGCACCATTATACCATCACAAATGGATAAAACCCCCTTTTTTGTAAAGTGAAAGCCACTCACATGGGCAAAAAGGACTATCCAAATCCAAGCACGAATGAGAGGGAAGACAATCACCCAACTAAAATTGATCGAATTTTTTCCACTATGAGGTGTCTAGGTGAGGCCAAGTTTCATCTTGACATATATTTGTGAACTACCCATTATTTTTGGTTTTCTTTCACTGCCTTTTCTTTTTCTCAAGCGTTCTCCATTATCAACAAACAAAGAAATGCCATTTGAAATGAAGATGTGCTTCGAAAAGAAGAAAAATTGTGGAAAAATGGCCAACATTTATGAGAAAAATAAATCATTAGTGCCAATACTCGAAATGTCAGGCTTACCACGAAATATGAATCCAAAGTCGTGATTGTCAAAAACATAACCAATAACCTTACAGATCAAGCAGAGAGTCGCACAAACTGCAAAGTTCCCATGATTTTCTGGCATGGAGTTCACAGCAAATCTCATGGTGGAAATGGGGTAGGATTTCATGTTCATCCGTTCAATACACATCATGCTTCTCTCGCTTGGAACTCTAGCCATGAAATAAGTCAATTATTTTCAAGTTCCTTGATACACTCTGAATGAGGAACTTGCGAATCTTTCAAGGCAAAGATAAAAAACTGAAGTTGTGAGGTTGAATCAGGAAAACAAATGACAATCTTAAAATTGGAATCAAGCATAGCTGCATGCAGCTAACCTTTCCTGGGAAATAAACCACGAATCCCTTCATGCTAACAAGAAGCAAAATGGTTGAGAATAAGCGACATCAATGCCCTGTGTGGACTGATGCAAAAATCATTCCATTGATACTATAATCCTCTTTATGGGAGGGAATATACCTACAGGAAATATACCTACAGGGTCTCCTGTTATGTGAAATTATAGCAATCCAATGCCAATTAATTTCCGTAAAAATAATATAACCCCCCATCTCTATCCCAATCCCACAGACTGAGATCCTCCAATGCTCATGGCCGAATTCAGCAATTGCTTGATATAAACACACGAAATTATTTCCTACGCCTGAGAAGCATGGCAACACCCCATTGCAATCTCACTTCCCCAATGAAGCCAGTCAGAATGCAATCTCACTTCCCCATATTTTTTCCCGACATACTTTGGGAACTACTTATCTAGCAATACGAAAACTTCATGTCACCATCTGGGATAGGCTGGACATGTTTTCTCTGGGTAATCTCTTCTGCCCCCTTCGTCTGGATAAATTGAACAGTACATCGATTGTTGTCACGTTTATTTATTTTACAAAACGATCGCATGTTAATGGGCACCCCATCAAATACACAAGCCGCATTAGATGCATGGACACTATTGAACATGTAGCAACCAAATTGAATAAAAAATATTCAAATAAAAATAGATCACGACATGGAATAATAAGGGAACAATGGAAAAGTCAGCCGACTCACATACCTGATGAGCAAATACACGTGCCATGATGATGTCATTGTACCTGGAGAGAACCCGAGCAATGTCGCGGGTTTCCTCTCTCTTGCCCATCTGGATATCATCGGGTCCCAGGTAGATGGCATGTCCCCCGAGCAAGAAGAAACCGGTTTCAAAAGAGACCCGAGTCCGCATGGATGGTTTGGTGAAGATCATAGCCATCGTTTTCCCTTTGAAGGGCTGGAATGTCCTGTCCCCTGATTTCAGCAGGGCCTTGACCTCCGCAGCACGATCAAGGATCTTCATTATGGTGTCCTTGTCAAAATCGCTGATGTGCAAGAAGTCCTTGAGGCCCGTATTGGCTGAAACGTAAGTCAGAAGTCAACTGCTAATGGACTTAGCATGGTGATTAAATACGCATTAATAGGCATGGAACAACGCCCTCAATTCCCTTGGCAGATGAGTTTTCTGAGATCATCTACAGCTGGTTGCCAGAAAAACCTGTTAGTTCTTCACTTTTTTTATCTTTGGAAGCGAAATTGAACACGATGAGGAAAAGAATATCAGGCTATTTTCCTTGTATACAGATTCTCGAAGGAATCGCAGCGGGAAAACCCTTCGTTTATATCCCCAAGGTAGTGGGAGCCACCGAAAGTCATCGACATTTCTCCACGGAACACAATCAGGTTTTTCCCGAGAGACGATTGAAAGAGTTACAGGTCCCCCCCATTAAGTAGTCTTCAGGAGAAAAACAGTTTCTTGCTCAGAGAATAATGCAAAATGCAGGGTGCTCTCTAGTTTCTCTCTAGGAAGAAACCTCATGTCCTCTAGGTGGGCTCCAGAAATTCGAGGAAGACCTTTCCACTCCACATTCTTCCCCATCTTCCGAGGCCACGCTCCTTTCCGCTCAGACCATCCCCTCCTTCTCCTCCGTCGGGGCGATCTCCTCTGCTTCATCTTCGTCCTAGAGCAATAATAGCGTGCCTCTAATTTCTCCGAAGGAAGTAGTCTTTCCGTATCACCCGCACCCATCCATGCAGTTGGCCATCCATCCTCATCGAACCGTGGTAAATTAAGAACCCAGTACTCTAAAACGCGAGAAAATTCGAATATGGAAAAAGGGAGGGAGAAGAGCGGGCAAAGACCGGCGGCGGCGGCCAGGACAAGTCATCGCCGCCGAAAGCTCTCGCTCGAGCGCTCACCTTCTGCTTCGACGGAGTACAGGGCGGAAGGGGACGGCGGCGCGACGGAGGCGCGGCAGACCAGCCGCCGGCGGGCGGAGGCGCCACCGCGCGAACGAGGGGTAATAACGACGGAGTAGAACGAGGGGGCAGCCAACGCAGAGAGGGGGGTGGGGGGCTCGGCCATCCGCGCGGGGCATGCCCCCGGTATCATCGCCGCCGCCGCCGCCATCTTCTGGAAGCTCTGCAGTGTTGTGCTGAAGAAGTGACGAGACCCTCACACTCACACTCTCTCTACAAGGGAGAGAGAAAGAAAGCTCTGCGGGAGGAGGGCGAAATGGGTTCCCTTCTTATTAAATTGACCGCCGAGTGGCCCAATAAGGAAGGTAGGCCCAATAGAGAGCCACCTCCCCTTATGGCCCTTCCACGGTCCAGTCCGGCCCGCAGTTCTAAAAAAACTTTATTAATTTTGTATTTAGATAAATACCCCTAATCATCTGACGTGGCATTTTTTTGTCGGCGGTACCTAAGGGGTAGTTGATGCCCTCATTTTTGGCGGCGCCGGCGGGTCGTCCCGGCCGACGAGTGGGGATTCGAATTCAAATACCCCGCTGCAACGGTCATCCGGCGGTGCCACCACCCTCATCCCTCTCTCTCTCCCTCGAGCTCTCTCTGTCTCTCTCCCTCTCAACGCGTACGCGCGGGTAGGGCGATGGGGGCCGCCGAGACTCCCTACGAGAAGCTCCGACGCAGGAAGCTAGAGGAGAACAGGAGGAAGATCGAGGAGCTCAAGCTCCCCCACATCTCCCTCTCGCTGCGGGGAGAAGCGGTCGTCCCCAAACCGCCCCCGGTATGTCCTCTGGACCTTCCGCTGGCCTGTGCTCCCGTTCTCATGTAGGGGAATCGTCTGATGCTCCGCAGGCCAAGCCGAGGAAGAAGGCGGCTCCGCTGGGGGGCTTGCTGGTTGCCGTAAGGAGGTCGGAGCGGAAGAGGGATCCTGTGAACTATAAAGAAGTAGCGTCTCTTCCCTCCCCATATGTGACGTCGCGTTCCCCTTCTCCTTGTTCGTGTTTCGCCTCTTCTTCTTTTTCTTCTCCGCTTCCCTCCATTTCCGGCACAGACGAAGAACACTGCCACTCATCATCAACTGGCTCGGATTGGGGAAGAAGGTTAGTCGGTGGGGCGTGTTTCGATTGAGGAGGCGTGATGATGATCGCGGATTCCTCCATTTGGACTAACCAGCTTCGGGGAATAGGATCCTCATTTTTTTAACCCTGGAAATGGAAAACGTGAATGCATTCCATCGAACCTATCCCTTCAGAGTGTTATTTCATCATCGGCCTAGATAGACGGGTGGATAGATTGACAGACAGAGAGGTACGGGTGGAACATTTGGAGGAATCTTCATTGTACCTTGAGGACAAGATAATGCTCAGCTAAACTCCGTCTCTGTTACAAGTGTGTGTGTGTGTGTGTGTGTACTAAATCTACTCTGACGAGTTATTCGGCTTAGATTTATTCTGCCGATTTGCCCTGTTTCGAGGCATCCTCAGATTCAGTTCAGCGAGCACATCCACTGCTGAATCTTTCATCACGATCTTATATTGATTTTTTTTTCACGGATCGAAGGTGTTTTCTTCCCTGTCGACGATGTCACTCTCGGGTTCTAAAGGGTCTCTGGGAGTATGAACATGTTCTTTTACCATCCTCGTCGTCCCCAAGGGAACGAGTCTCCTGGTGGGGGTTGCTCTCATGTTATGACCCTAACGCAGCAGAATCGGAGAGGATGGCGTTGTTCTAATGCTCCATGTGCTCTGAGGTGTTCATGTTTATGTTCCTGTTGCATGAGCTAACTCGAGTCATTCCTTATGTTGCCTCCGTGGTGGAGACCCCGAGTGTTTGCTCTCTTCTGGCATTTCTCCTTTCATAAGCGCCGTTATTGACCCCCGAGTGCAATTTTCTTTGGTGGGTTACAGGATAAGCGCGGGCACGTGGCGAGGGTGAGAAGAAGGTTTGTGGGGCTGATGACACGACGTGATTTCCTTTCTTTGGGCTGTTTAGTCGAAGGCTTTCTTCTGATGCTGCTATCCTCTCTACGATCACTAGCGCTAGCAAGAGAAATCTCTCCGACCGCGTATACGCGTCAGATGAGGCCAGGGCCTATGCAGAAGAGACGGCCAAAGCCCTTCAGTCACAGTTGGCATCTGAATGCCCCAACTTTATCAAGCTTATGCTGCAATCGCATGTCACGGGGGGATTTTGGCTGGTAATTTTCTGACGACCTTCTTCCTAAGGCTCTATCTATTTCTTCTTAGCGGAGATCGCGGGGCTTTCACTCGCATATGCAGAGATGGGATTGAGGGGTTAGGAAGGTAACGTTAGTGTCCTCTTCTTCTTACTTACCTATCCTAGCTAATCTTGCCCTGCTGATTTTGTACAAGCCACGGACCCTACTTGCGTCTACGTTGGGGAGGGAGACCGTATTCACTTACATTTCTTGAGATGAAGATCCTGCGCCGCGCTTGAGATGATGATGCTCAAACGCCCAATAATAAGCATGGGTTCAGCACATCAAAATGAGTGAAGGACGTGCACTGACGTGGGTTGTTTTTTTTTTCTGATGTTATGGGTTCCTCTTGACAGGGGATTCCCAGAGCCTTCTGCTCGAAGCACTTACCCAAGAAGGATACGCCAATGACTCTCATAGACGACAGAGGGGAGGAGTCATTGACCCTCTACCTCGCTGAAAAGAACGGACTGAGCGCCGGGTGGAGGGGGTTCGCCATCAGCCACGAGTTGGTCGATGGGGACGCCGTAATTTTTGAGTTGGTGTCACGCGCCACATTCAAGGTAATTGGTTTGATCCATGGCTCTCTATCTATTTATAGATAAGATAAGGAGTACTACTACTAGTACTACTAACAAGTGCTCCTGTGGTTTTCTAGGTGCACATAATCAGACAGAGCGGCTACTATGAAGCGGGAACCCGAGGTTCAGATGCCAGGACCAAAAAGAAAAGGAGGTACTGTGTTGTGTTTCTGTCTGTCCATTTCTCCCAGGTCAGGCATGCTCATTCGTTATCCGTAATTGCTCTCTAATTTTCGTTAATCATACTGCATCCAGTATAATAATATATTATTCTGTTCGATCAGTCTGTTGTGTGGTATGATCAGAACGAGTAGCATGCCCCCGAGATCACGAATGAGGAGTCTGCTGTGGGCTATGTAAATCGCTTCTTTCATTGATTTGCTGCGCCCAGATGATGTCGTGTCAGCCCCATACCATTGATTTGCTCAATTCTGAAAGGATTTTCAAAAAGATCCTCCGTTTCCACCAAACGTGTTTATGGGCGGTGGGCGCTGGGCAGTCAATGACCCAAGGAAGGGATCACGGTCGCTCAGAAATGCGGCGATGCCATCACGTGGTTGCCAGCACCATGCGCTCGCTGTCCGTGGGCTTCGACCTGAGTGTCTTTGCCGTTTTGACTAGTAGAGTAGTAATCTCCATCTGGTGGAGCTCGTTTCGTCCATCTTGAGTAATCATGTTTGTTCTCTGTGATGTGATTCGTTGTAGGTGATGGGGGAGGCGCTCGTCTGGTCTCTGCGCATACGGAGGCTCTTTGTCCGGTCGCCAGATCCCCCTCTCTTTCGTCATCCCCGATGCGCACAGATCGTTGACCGGGCTCTCCCCCTTCTCACACTGAGAATCAGAGTCAAATCCTGCACGAAAAAGTTCCCTCCATGGACTTGAGTCTCTAGACGTTTCAGGTTCTGAGGTTTCTTTTGCGCAGCAGAATGAACGGCGACGATCTTCCACAAATCAATGCGTCGACCAGCAGCTCTTCGATCTCCAGGGGCGGCTGCTGCTTCACGCATGGATATATATTATATTGAGGACAAGATCTAGTCCTGTTACGATAACGGCCGAACGAACAGGAGTCCTTGGTCAACCCGCGAGCGACCACTCACGCGAAAGAACAAGAATCAGTTCTAATCTGGGACGGTCCTAAGATCATTCGAGAACAAATAGCGGCTCAAAGGAATCCCTCCTTTTTTCTCGTCAGCAGAGCGAGCATATAACAGCCGGAGCATGGAGAGATTGCTGATGGTTGAGGCCTTTTGGATTGCTGCCCCGCTCGTCCGCCTTTCATGCCCGGAAACCCACCGCCTTCCCCTTCCTTCTCCTTCCTCTTCTTCTTCTTCGTGCAGAAACCCTGCCGCGGGGGGAGGCAGGGGAGGCGGAGGGGGGGAGGCAATAATACAACGCATATGAAAGGACCTGGCTTTCATAGATCCACAGTCATCATATGTCACCCACCATTTTACTGGTTCGAGGTTAAGCCTGTCTGTGAATTAATCTAGGAGAGAGAGAGAGAGAGAGAGAGAGGGGACGTTGACTTCTTGGTAGGGGATTGACTATGTCAGACAACTATAGACGGATATTTTTTCCCCAGAAAATGACGGCGGATAGCGACCAAAATAAAACCTTGTGAGAATTCGGCATCGAATAGAGATAACGGATCGGTTTCTTACCATCCCTTTAACGGAGGGTGGAATCTTTGACAACCCCTTCCCAACGAGTCAAAGAGAGTTTTGACTCGTGTTACTTCTTCGACATGAGAGAGAGAGAGAGAGAGAGAGAGAGAGAGAGGGAGAAAGAGAGTTTTGGCTTTGTTCCGGGTTCAACAAAAAATTTTGTCAAATCCAAAATAAATATTTTATTTAGCTTTTTTTAAAGTTTTGGTTTTGTTTCGGGCCTAAGTGAAAATTTTGGCTTTGTGCTGGGGCTCAACAAAAGTTTTGGTCAGTAAATATTTTATATGCCTTTTTTAATATTTCGGCTTTATTTTGGGACCAATTTAATTGTTTTGCTCGAATCCTAAATATATTTTGTGTCCCACCTTTCTCTAAAAGTTTGTCTTTGTTTATGGGCCAAAGATTTTTTTGGTTAAATCCACAATAAATATTTTATTGAAACTTTTTTATAATTTTTTGTTTATTCAAGGGCCAAAGTAGAAAATTTAGGTCGAATCCATAAATATATTTGTTTTAGCCTTTTATAAGGTTCTGTCTTTGTTCAAGGGCCCAATTACATTTTTTTGGTTCAATCATAACTACATATTTTATTGAGCCTTTTTTTAAGTTCTGGCTTTGTTCGGGAGCCCCATTGACTTTTTCAGTCGATTCCTCCATAAGTATTTTATTTAGCCGTTTCCAAGATTTAACTTTCCTCTAGCACGCCCTATTATTTTTTTTTGGTCAAACCCTAAATAAATATTTTATTGATATTTTTTTCAAAGTTTCAGTTTTGTTCAGGGGCCCAATTGAATTTCTGTTTGAATCCACAATAAATATGTTATTGAGTCTTTTTTTTAATTTGGGCTTTATTCAAGTCTATTTGATTTTTTAGGTCAAATCCTAAATATATATATTGTTGAGACTGTTTTGAAAGGTTTAGTTTTGTTCGGGGGGGGGCGCAACAAATGTTTTTCTTGAATCCACAATAAATATTTTACTAAGCCTTTTCTTAAAGTTTTGGCTTTGTTTTGTGGCCTAATTGATTTTTTTGGTCAAATCCTAAAAATATAATTTTTTGAGCTTGTTTTTAATTTTTTTTGTTATGAGGCCAAAATGAATTTTGTTGCCTAAATTCTAAATAAATATTGTGTTGAGCCTTTTTAAGGTTTTTTTTTGTTAAGGGAATCAATCAATTGTTTTAAATCCACAATAAATAATTTATTTAGCCTTTTTAAAAAAAATAGCTTTGTTCTGGGGATCAATTGAATTTTTTTGGTTGAATCCTAAATATATATTTTGTAAGTTTTTTTATAAAAAATTGACTATAATCTGGGGCCCAATTTAATTTTTTTGTGAATCCACAATAAATATTTGATTGAGCATTTTTTAAACTTTTACTTTTATTTTAGGGCCAATTGAATTTTGTTGCTTGTATTCTAAATAATTATTTTGTAGAGCTTTTTTAAAAGTTTAAGTTTTGCTAAGGGACCCAATTAAATTTTTGCTTGAATCCACAACAAATATTGTATTAAGTATTTTAATTTAAAGCCTTGGTTTTGCTTTGGGGTTCTTTTTAATTTTGTTCGCTTGAATCGTAAAGATCTATTTTGTTGAGCCATTTTTTAAAGGTTTCACTTTAATCTAGGGGACATTTGAATTTTGTTTGGTTGAATCTGCAATAAATATTCAAATTGAATTTTTTTGCTTGAATCCTAAATATATAGTTTTTCAAGCCTTTTGTTAAATTTTTAAATTTAATTTGGGGCCCAATTGAATTTTTTTGATCGAATTGCAATAAATTTTTGATTGAGCCTTTTCTGAAAGTTTAGCTTTATTTTGGAGCCCAATTGAATTTTGTTTCTCGAATCCTAGATAAATATTTTCTTGAAATATTTTTTTGGTTGAATCTTCAATATATATTTTATTGAGACTTTATTTTAAGTTTTTGGTTTTTCTAGGTTCAAATTAAGTTTTTTTGGTATAATCTTATATATATTATGTTGATCTTTTTTTGAAATTTTTTATTTATAATGGGGCCAATTGAATTTTTTTGTTAAATCCTAATGAATATTTTGTTCTGGGCCTTATTTATTTTTTTGGTTGAATCCCTAATAAATATTTTATTGAGCCTTTTTGAAAGTTTTAGCTCTGTTTGGTTGAATCTACAATAAATATTTTATTGAAACTTTTTTTTAACATTTCTGCTTTATTGTGGAGCCCAATTTATATTTTTGGTTGTGCTCAATATATATTTCTTTAATCATTCTCTTAAAGTTTTGGCTTTGTTTTGGGGCTTATCAGAAATTTTGACTGAATCCACAATAAATATTTTATCGAGCCTTTTTAACGTATGGTTTTGATCTGTGGCCTAATTGAATTTTCTTGGTCAAATCCGAAATATATATTTTGTTGAGACTTTGTTTTAAGTTTTTGGCTTTGTTTTGGGCTCAATTAAATTGGTTGGTCGAATTCACAATAAATATTTTATTGAGTTTTGTCTTAATTTTTGGCAATGTTCTGGGCCCATTTGAACTTTTCGGTTGAATCCTAAATAAAGATTTGTTGAGCCTTTTTTTAAAGTCTCTCCCCTCCCTCCATTCCTCTCTATCTCTTTCTCGCTCTCTGTCTCCGCCGATCGCCGGTTTCCCTGATCAGTTGCGGCCGGTGGCAGCCACCAGTGGCCGAGAACACGGCCTCCGCAATTGACGGATAGCATCATCTGCAGTAGCTTTCAGGAGCAGGAACATCAGGCGGCATCCGTAGTCACAATCCGGCACAGGTTTGGAGAAATTTCCTCTTTATTTTCTTGTGATATTTAAGCGGGCAGGGGACGTTGTACCTTGTCACGGTGTATCGTGAGGGTATCCTCTGTGAGGGTTCCGGTAAAATGGATGGATACTGATCTTCATGTACTGTGGCGTTGATCGTCTTCATAGGGATCATTTACCACCCTAGTGCGACCATTTAAAACCATAAGTCAACGGGACAAGGCTCTGGGTTTGTGCTCCTCTTCTTCTAATCTTCATCTTATGTTTTTCCTCTTCTTCCTCACCTTTTTTCTGAGATGGTCAAGCTTCAACTCATGAGAGTCCTAGAATATTTAGCGGAATAGAAACTTTAAAAGGGCCGTTTGAAGCCCAAATAAATGCTTTTTTTAAAAGCCTGAATAGCCCATTGAAATCAAATTCCGAGAACTTTCCGAGAACATGTGTGTTTTTATAGATAGACTCTATTGGAAACACTGGTCGTGGTATCATTTTGTCACTTGTATTTCGGCTACTTTTGGAACTTCATTTGATGTCAATATGATTGATATCCGGTGAAATTTATGGCAAAAAAATTTCAGAAACATGTGAAACGTTCTAAAACTCTTTTATCGGGGGAACGTTCTTACAATTGAATAGGTTTTTTAAGAACCCTAGTCACACGTTTATGAGGGGATGTGCAGCAGCGTTTACAAATGTGACACGCCAAGAGAATTTAGGGTCGATCAGCTTAATATTCAAAAGTATCCAGATCACAATGACGACACCTGTCGAGGGTATGTTATGTATGATATATCCCAAGACGTGGTTTAGATT